TGAAGGCCTCAGGCTCGGCCCGCACCTCCACCAGCTCGCATGCTGGGCCCATAATCTGTCTGTTGTGATCACCTGCCTGTCCACCCTTTCAACCCGCTCTCGCCCCCTTCAGCCATGTCAAGACCCCGCTGTCATCCCCAATGTTTACCGAGCTACTGAAACCCCCCCCTCCCCTTAACTCAAAGAGTAAACTGGTGTCAGAAGGGGCTCAAATCCCTCCACGCTGCCAGTATGCCGCTCCCCTCGTGTGGTGATCTGCTGGTTTACCTTAGATGGAGGTTTACAGAGTGGGAAACTAAACATGTTTAAAGCAATTAATGTGATTAGTGTCGTCTAAACTGTTTTCACAGATAATATCAAAGGTAAAATCGATTCCTGTGTCAGATGCCTCAGCCTACACAGCTCTCTGTTTACACCACTTTATCCTGTGTGCTCATTACTCTCTAAACAGTTTATATTTTAGGAACCTCCTTATAGCCCATGCAGTGGACATACTGACATATACCCTTTAACTTGTATTTATTATTTTATGATTTGATCAACTCTATATTTGTAATTTAGTTCAGTGTTGTAGGAATCCACTATTAGCAATTATGGTGGGTATGAGTAATAGGGCCTCATGAAAATTTTTTGAAATATTAAGTTAAGTTGTTATATTTCAAAAATAAAGATGTAGCGAAAGAGTCGACCACTTCCAAACATTTCCTCCTCCACCAAAGGCAGTTTCATCTAAGTCTGTGTGGTTCAGAATAGACAGTTTCTTTCATAATATTAAATCCTTAAAATGATACTGATAATGTGGAGCTGATGTGTTGGCATATTTCATTATTTGTTGCCTAAAATTAGGACATAATAAAAGGAATTTATTCTCATTATACCACAAATTGAATCTTACTTCATTCTCTTAAATTTATAACTTTCTTCTCATAATATTACCATTTTATTCTTGTAAAATTACGACTTTCTACTCAAAATAGTTCTTTTTTTCCACTTTATGTAGCCTTAATACTTGTAAATCATTTATAGCCGTAAATCAGACCCAGGACCTGGAATATATACTTGTCATGTGTCACTCCTTCACCAGAATAACACCACATACTTCCAAAATCAATACTGTCAAAACATTTTCAATACCAGTTATTTGGTGCATGCATCGTCCAAATATCCTAAATGAAGTTGACAATGCCTGAATTCACTTAAAAACGTCATTTTAACCAGAGGATTGCCCTCGAGAAAACATCATACTGTAGCATAACATTTTCATACAGGATTTCTGGGTAATGTCCATGCCCAGAGGTGGCATTGCCTTTTGGTTTCCTTAGCAAGCAGGAAAACCTCACACTCCTTGAGTAATAACACGCTCTCTACGATTAACACAGTTTCCTCCACGGACCTCTGGCTATAATTTACCCACAAATTCATATTGCAGAAAAGAAAGCAATGAAAGAGTGATTATTCCCTTATACGTAAATACACACTTTTGGCATGTCAATAATAGCCATGTTTGTTTTCCAAACTCAAATGCCCGGCGCCGTATTTCAGCAGTCAGCATGCAGTGTGTCTGTCATGACCCGTACGGCAGCTTGGACGTTCCCCTGCACTGAGAGTTTTATAAGCTCTCCCACCCCGCCTGACTCTCTTGTTTCCAGCTGAAGCATTTGATTGGCACGACTCAAAGTTAATATGTTGCCGCTGTAGAACTGTGTGCAACATGAACATGTATGGATATTTTCCATAGTTGTGTGCTGCAGCCTAGGCACTATGTGTGTATGTCTGGTGCTGAGGAATCCTGTGTGATATTTTTTTTCCTCATACATTCCAGTCCTCTTAACTGCATGTTTGGCTGTGACAATTTAATGCATTTCTCGGTAGAACTTTGGAACAAGTTTATTGCCTTTAATTTAACGACACTACACGTTACCTGGGTCCAAATCTACTGAATGGTTTGCCACTAATTATGCTGAACTCTTGAACATGGGACTAGCTGTCGTATATCAGTTATTGAAACTTGACTTTAATGGTCCAGTGTGAGATTTAGGTGAAAGGGATTAATTGGCAGATATTGAATATGAAATAATCCTCATGATGTTTTTACTAGTGTGTAATTTTCTTAGATCAATTCTTCAATTGTATTAATTGTTGTTTTCTTGACCCTAGAATGGCCCTTTATTTTTAAATACTTTCTAATGTCATCGGGAGCCGGTCCTCTCTACGGAGGCTGGCATTTTTTTTTATAGTAGCCCCAACTGGACTAATTAAACCTTTTGAGTTTTTATGACAACAAAAGGCTAGCACAGGTTCTCTTTCATGTTTGGAAGGGGAGGGTGAGGTGAGGGGTATTCAGCTGCAACATGCAACTTCACCACTAGATGTCACTAAATTCTACACACTTAACCTTTAAAACGGCTTGTTTGTCAACAGGATTATGCAAAAATTACAGAAAGGATTGGGGGGGTTGGACATAGGCCACGAAAGAAGCCATTCAATTTTGGTGTGGGATTGGATCAGGGGGTGGATCCAGAAATTATTTATTTATTTATTTATTTTTAATTGTAGTTGTGGCTTGTGATGGCATTAAAACAAAATCTCATGGGAAACATCTTCTAACTTGTGTGTGCTACTTAGATAGGGTTGTGCACTGAGACTGGC